ACGTGACGCTTGGCATTAAGGCCAAAGAGTTGAATCTTGGTTTCATCAGATCAGGGAATCTTGTTTCACATGGTCTGAGATTATTTTGGTGCCTGTTGGCAAACTCCAAGCAGGCTGTCATGTGCCTTTTATTGAGGAGTGGCTTCTGTATGGCCTGATTGGGGGTGTGCTGCAGAGATGGCCGTCCTTCTGGAAGGTTCTACCATCCTGGTTAAATAAAGGTTAAATAAAAAATAAAATAAAAAATATGCAGCAGCTCTATAGAGATGAGATGATGACTTGGAATTAAATAAAGTCATCAAATAAAACAAATATTTTATTAAAGCAAAGTGAATAAATGATGGTTAAATATTCTAGCTAACTAACTGGCTGAATAAGTTGACGACGGACTCGCTCAAGCTGTCGGGACTAACCCACAACGTTAGACACGGACACAAATGATCTGCTTGGCGTGTTGACACACTGGTAGTTTGTTGTGGCCGAGTATTGGTGCTAAACCGTGTTATTGGAGCCTGGCATGCTAGTTGGCTATGGCGTCATAGGACTAGGTGCCCTGGACGGTTTTCACAGAAGAATACTGTACCAAGTTAGCTAGCTGAATAAACTAAGTTAGTCTATTCCTAGAAAACATTGAACCGCTGTAGTTTACAACAATTATAGTTTCTGAGGTGGAAGTTGGGAGAGTTATATTTGGGTGTTTCAGTGAAACGTAAGTGAGGGAGGCCCCGCTCTCTCGCTTTCCCAGATGTTTAGTTCATTTCATTCCGATCTCCTTTGCATTATTGTAGCCATTTTCTGTAGCCTGTCAACTATGCGTCTGTCTATCCCTGTTCTCTCCTCTCTGCACAGGCCATACAAACGCTTCACACCACGTGGCTGCTGCCTCTCTAACCTGGTGGTCCCTGCACGCACCACCCACGTGGAGTTCCAGGTCTCCAGCAGCCTCTGGAACTGCCATTCTGCGGCCAACAAGGCAGAGTTCATCTCAGCCTATGCTACCCTCCAGTCCCTCGACTTCTTGGCGCTGACGGAAACGTGGATTACCACTGAAAACACTGCTACTCCTACTGCTCTCTCCTCGTCTGACCATGTGTTTTCGCATACCCCGAGAGCATCTGGTCAGCGGGGTGGTGGCACAGGAATCCTCATCTCTCCCAAGTTGACATTCTCTCTTTTTCCCCTAACCCATCTGTCTATCTCCTCATTTGAATTCCATGCTGTCACAGTCACTAGCCCATTCAAGCTTAACATCCTTATCATTTATCGCCCTCCAGGTTCCCTTGGAGAGTTCATCAATGAGCTTGAAGCCTTGATAAATTCCTTTCCTGAGGATGGCTCACCCCTCACAGTTCTGGGTGACTTTAATCTCCCTACGTCTACCTTTGACTCATTTCTCTCTGCCTCCTTCTTTCCACTCCTCTCCTCTTTTGACCTCACCCTCTCACCGTCCCCCCCTACTCACAAGGCAGGCAATACGCTTGACCTCATCTTTACTAGATGCTGTTCTTCTACTAATCTCACTGCAACTCCCCTCCATGTCTCCGACCACTACTTTGTATCCTTTTCTCTCTCGCTCTCCTCCAACACTACTCACTCTGCCCCTACACAGATGGTAATGCGCCATCGCAACCTTCGCTCTCTCTCTCCCGCTACTCTCTCCTCTTCCATCCTATCATCTCTTCCCTCTGCTCAATCCTTCTCCCTCCAATCTCCTGATTCTGTCTCCTCAACCCTCCTCTCCTCCATTTCTGCATCCTTTGACTCTCTATGTCCCCTATCCTCCCGGCCAGCTCGGTCCTCCCCTCCAGCTCCGTGGCTTGATGACTCATTGCGAGCTCACAGAACAGGGCTCCGGGCAGCCGAGCGGAAATGGAGGAAAACTAGACTCCCTGCGGACCTGGCATCTTTTCACTCCCTCCTCTCTACATTTTCTTCCTCTGTTTCTGCTGCTAAAGCCACTTTCTACCACTCTAAATTCCAAGCATCTGCCTCTAACCCTAGGAAGCTTTTTGCCACCTTCTCCTCCCTGCTGAATCCCCCCCCCCCCCCCTCGCCCGCTTGACCCTATCCCCTCCTCTCTTCTCCAGACCATTTCCGGAGACCTTCTCCCTTACCTCACCTCGCTGATCAACTCATCCTTGACCGCTGGCTATGTCCCTTCCGTCTTCAAGAGAGCGAGTGTTGCACCCCTTCTCAAAAAACCTACACTCGATCCCTCTGATGTCAACAACTACAGACCAGTATCCCTTCTTTCTTTTCTCTCCAAAACTCTTGAGCGTGCCGTCTTTAGCCAACTCTCTTGCTATCTCTCTCAGAATTACCTTCTTGATCCAAACCAGTCAGGTTTCAAGACTGGTCATTCAACTGAGACTGCTCTTCTCTGTGTCACAGAGGCTCTCCGCACTGCTAAAGCTAACTCTCTCTCCTCTGCTCTTGTCCTTCTAGACCTGTCTGCTGCCTTTGATACTGTGAACCATCAGATCCTCCTCTCCACCCTCTCCGAGTTGGGCATCTCCGGCGCGGCTCACTCTTGGATTGCGTCCTACCTGACAGGTCGCTCCTACCAAGTGGCGTGGCGAGAATCTGTCTCCGCACCACGTGCTCTCACCACTGGTGTCCCCCAGGGCTCAGTTCTAGGCCCTCTCCTATTCTCGCTATACACCAAGTCACTTGGCTCTGTCATATCCTCACATGGCCTCTCCTATCATTGCTACGCAGATGACACACAACTAATCTTCTCCTTTCCACCTTCTCATAACCAGGTGGCGAATCGCATCTCTGCATGTCTGGCAGACATATCAGTGTGGATGATGGATCACCCCACCTCTTTAAGGAATACCTGGGATAGGATAAAGTAATCCTTCTAACCCCCCCCCCCCCCCCCCCCCCCACAAAAAAAAAAAAACAACAACCATATTGTAAAGTGGTTATCCCACTGGCTATAAGGTGAATGCACCAATTTGTAAGTCGCTCTGGATAAGAGCGTCTGCTAAATGACGTAAATGTAAATGTAAATAAGCAGTAATGGGGTTAAAGGTCACTACCATCACAGGACTGTTATTAATCGTTTTTATTCTGTTGTTAAAGCATTCAACCCACATAATGCATAATGAATAGTGTATTAAATGTCTAAAACAATTATTGAAACCGAAATCGAAAAACCGTGATTATTAGTTTTATAATCGAACCGAAACTGAACAGACCTCAAAATAGCACTGATCACCTCATCAGTAGTGTGCTTTTGTGTGTGTAAAAGAAGCATCCTCGGTAGTGTGTCAAAAAGGATCACCCTTTAACCCCTGTCCAGTCCAGTGTGTGTTGGTGCAGGAATGTCCCTCTAGCCAGCAGATCAGATGAGCCTGTGAGGCTCTCAGGCTTAGTGCATGAACAGTTTTTCCATTCTCAGAGAACAGATGATTCAGGCAGTCCTGGAGTGATGTCATCCATAAAGCCTCCTTCCTGGTCCCGGACTCAACTTCAACAATGCCCCAAAACAACTCTGAAATGAGCCTCTCATCCGCACAACTATGATCCTTATACCCGAGTGGGGTACTCAGAGTGCTGTGGGCCCCTCATTCAGGTGTCTGGTTTAGCCAAAATACAGAGCTTTTTTTTTTTCTGAGCAACATTACATGTGGTGATTTTATGTGCAAAATGTGTAGGCCTAGTATTATTGCTTAATAAACAATAATGTATTGACAACTTTTAATACATTTCCTGGGTGTAATTTTGTTTCAACGTAGTGAAAATGTTCTCTATGAGAATTGGTTTGCTTTTCTACAGTTGACTTTGAATCATACTGCGTTGACAAAGTTTACAATAAACTGATTATGGATGCGTGAGTCGATGACAGTATGTTACTGCATTCTCTGAAACTGTCGCGCAAATGATTAACTTCTGGCTTATTGCACATGCCTATCCTAGTTGACATGACAGGTTATGAATGGTGTACCGAAAATCAAAAACTTGTAACGATTACAGAACCATTGTTGGAAATGTTGCAGTTCTACAGTATGGTCTCCTTCTGGACGGATATGAGATACGGCAATCCCGGTGAATCAAATCCTCTACTTCACCATGCGTGAAAACATGCACTCTCTCTGACTAGATTTCCCGTAGAAACCATTCAATGATGATAAAACTCACCACTTTGAAGAGGCCTGCTTCGATGTTTTTCCTAGTTACGTACCAGACTTCCAGTTGACTAATCAATCGCATAAATCTCAGAACGGGGCGGGTGTGTAACGTAGAACGGTGTACGGTGTTGGTGCAGTCGAGCAGTAGCGCACGTTACGTACCGTCGATGCTCCTGCGCTGGGCAAGCTCAACCACGTCCGCCGGGGGAGGGGCACATGGACTGTCCCAAGCAATAGAAACGAGTTCCAAATAAAACAGTCAGCCCAAGAGACTCGGAAAACAATGGCATTTATTAGCATATATCTTTGGTAAACAGGACACACAACTATAAGCAACTAAAAGCTGCATAAAAGGATTCAAATGATGTCTTACATTTATCACAAAAAAAAGTAGGTTTAGGTTATAATCTGCAGATCTCAATAGACAGAGGCTATATCTAATAAAACAAATAAAGCATAAAATAACGCTTTAAAACATTATGTTACGCAATACAGTGTGTTTCAAAAGAAACATCTCTAAAAAGGCACTTCGGTTTATTTGTAGCTGGTTTTGAGAGAACGGTCTTCGAAAGAACAGTCTTTGAAAGAACGGTCTTTGAAAGAACTGTCTGAGAGAACTGTCTTTGAAAGAACGGTCTTTGAAAGAACTGTCTGAGAGAACTGTCTTTGAGAGAACAGTCTTTGAGAGAACGGTCTTTGAGAGAACGGTCTTTGAGAGAACGGTCTTGTGCTGCCATCTTCTAGATCATGGAAAATGACAACCACTGAAAATAGAAATTGAATACAATCAATATATTAGAACAATAATTAGTCTACTGCTAGACCTATATGAGTTGATTATAAATTACAATTTAAAGTTCTCACCTGGTGGAAATCCAATTCAATATAGCCAGTATCATCAATGTCAATCTTCTTGAAGACTTCTGCGAGGTTGAGAGAGGTTCAGATGTAAGCATCTATAACACACACTCTGATCAAAGCTTTCCTTTTGATCCTAATCTGACGGGTTCTCCACAACTCCCAAAAGTAACCCACATATTAAAAAAAGGTACAGTCTGCAATATTTACTACTGTTACACTCCATGGCCATCACTCAGCTTTATAGGCAAACAAGTGCCGGGCGGGGCTGCCGTTTGGCTGAAACACAAATTCAGGATTGTGGCATTAAGACGTTCTACTCACTGAACATCATCTCCAGGCGCATGACGCAGGCCACAAAGTTATCAAAGTCAATGGTCATGTCAGCCTCTCCATACCGAGCCGCCAGAACCTGGTGGAGAGTGTTGTTCAGGCTGAAACCTGATGGAAGATAGATTATATATCATCAGAACCTGGTGGAAGGTAGATTATATATCATCAGAACCTGGTGGAAGGTAGATTATATATCATCAGAACCTGGTGGAAGGTAGATTATATATCATCAGAACCTGGTGGAAGGTAGATTATATATCATCAGAACCTGGTGGAAGGTAGATTATATATCATCAGAACCTGGTGGAAGGTAGATTATATATCATCAGAACCTGGTGGAAGGTAGATTATATATCATCAGAACCTGGTGGAAGGTAGATTATATATCATCAGAACCTGGTGGAAGGTAGATTATATGTATGTGTAACTGATAAGATGCACGCTGCATGTTAATGTTTTTAAATGTATGTAAATTGTAAAGTTTCTTTTTTCTGTAATGTCTTTTTCATTATGTGTCGGACCCCACTAAGACTAGCTGTCGCCATTGTCGTCGGGTAATGGGGATCCTAATAATAAAATGGATACTGTATATATAATCAGGGGTGGAAATGGAACACTCTGGGAAACAGCCAATGGAAAATCCTTGAATTCAGTGAATTTTTACATGTCAAAATGAATGATGAAGTCACTCCTTGAATTCAATGTAAAATGCACATCTTTGGAGTTCAAAATCATTTTCCAGCGGGAACCCGGGTTCCCCTGGGATTTCACTCCGAGAACCTGGTAATATACAGAATAACGTCTGTAATACAATATAGAGTATAACGTCTGTAATATTATATAGTATAATGTATGTAATATAATATGCAGTATAATGTCTGTAATATAATATGGAGTGTAATGTCTATAATATATAGTCAGTAGATGCGTAATAATTTCCTCTGTTCACTGTAAGAACGCGCTTTTAACCCAAGGTGGTGGGTCGTATGCCACCATACACAAAAATGTATGCCGCTGACTGTAAGTGCTTATAAAGCGTCTCAATGCATATTATTTATTATTTATATGAGTATAATGTCTGTACTATACTATAGAGTATAAGTCAAAGTATACTCGTATATAATGCAGTATAAGTATATATATGCAGATAGTAGCCACTTAGCTTTTATCAAAGTGACAGTAGACAGTGCATACATTAGTGACCCCTGAGTATTTGTGTAAATGACGTTTATTTCATGTCCACAAACCTGCTTTGCTCAAGGCCATCCTCATCTCTGGTGTGCTCATACAGCCAGACCCATCAATGTCATTGTTCTTATAGATGGACTGGTGGGAGGGAGGGAGAGAGGGAGGAGGGAGAAGAGGGATGGAGGAGGGAGGGATGGAGGGAGGATGAGGGAGGGAGGGAGGGCTGGCTCTCCAATGATCGACTTTGTTCGCTTTATACGTCTCATGCTTTATTTTTATATGAGTTGGATTATGATTACCTTAAATAACTAACTCTTCTTTTCCAACTATGAATAGCAGTATATTCTACTTTCTTTTCATACTCTCTTACTCTACCCTGTTTTTAGATTTACGCACTCTTCAACTCTCATCTCTGTTTCTAAGGCCATCGTCTTTTCTTCTTGCTGCCTCTCAGATACTCGGATCGAATTTTCCTAACTTTTTACTCTCCTTCTATGGCTCTAGCCTTCCTGTTTGTTCGGTCTCTCATCTCTCTCTCTCTCTTCATCTCTCTCTCTCTCTCGCTTTCGCCGCTTCTTTCCCTCTTCTCCTCTCCCTTCACCCTGTTTCCCTTCCAATGTTATAGAGAGATTGCACTGTGTAAAACACACACTACACTATGTAAACACTTGAAGGCCGTCCAATCTTACACAACAGAGATCCTACTGCAGTAGCTCTGGTCCAAGGCATTATGTGCAGCTTGCTGACGCTGAGCCTATGTAGCACCCTGGACCAGAGCTACCACAGCAGTAACACAATCAGTAGAACCTCACCAGGTATTTCTGAATCTTCTTCCACAGTGTCGCAAATTCTCCCATACCCAGTTTGCCGTTACCACTGTCCTGCTTAACAGTTAAGGTTAAACAAGTGTCTGGACACAACATGCCCAACAAACTACAATATTCAAAACTAAAAGACTGAGATGAGCGTTTTTTCTGTAACTTATTCATTGATGTCACTTGTGTTAAAATTCAAGTTATGATCTCAAGTCAGAATACCACTCTCTGTATAGAGACGCAGTATGTAATACTTGTAAAGGATACATCCATGAGGTTGACCATGATTCTGGCTGTGTCTAGGCTGAAGCCGTCCGTCTTTATGTCAGTTCCTGTAGAGGACACATCACAGAGTTAGGACAGAGTTAGGACAGAGTTTGGACAGAGTTTGGACAGAGTTAGGACAGAGTTAGGACAGAGTTAGGACAGAGTTTGGACAGAGTTTGGACAGAGTTTGGACAGAGTTTGGACAGCGTTAGGACAGAGTTTGGACAGAGTTTGGACAGAGTTTGGACAGAGTTAGGACAGAGTTAGGACAGAGTTTGGACAGAGTTAGGACAGAGTTTGGACAGAGTTTGGACAGAGTTTGGACTATACATAAAACGTGCTCTTTATACACTGAACAAAAACTATAAACGCAACATGCAACAATTTCTACGATTTTACTGAGTTACAATTCATATAAGGAAATCAGTCAATTTAAATCAATGCATTAGGCCCTAATCTGTGGATTTCACATGACTGGGAATACAGATACGCATCTGTTGGTCACAGATACCTTAAAAAAAAAAGTAGGGCCATGGATCAGAAAACCAGTCAGTATCTGGTGTGACGACCATTTGCCTCATGCAGCGCGACACATCTTCCTTCACATGGAGTTGATCAGGCTATTGATTGTGGCCTGTGGAATGTTGTCCCACTCCTCTTCAATGGCTGTGCGAAGTTGCTGGATATTGGCGGGAACTGGAACACGCTGTCGTACAGGTCGATCCAGAGCATCCCAAACATGCTCAATGGGTGACACGTCTGGTGAGTATGCAGACCATGGAAGAACTGGGACATTTTCAGCTTCCAGGAATTGTGTACAGATCCTTGCGACATTGGGGCCGTGCATTATCATGCTGAAACATGAGGTGATGGCGGCGGATGAATGGCACGACAACGGGCCTCAGGATCTCGTCACGGTATCTCTGTGCATTGTGTTCGTTGTCCGTAGCTTATGCCTGCCCATACCATAACCCCACCATGGGGCACTCTGTTCACAACGTTAATATCAGCAAACTGCTAGCCCACACCACACCATACACGATGCCATACACGCCATCTGCTCGGTACAGTTGAAACCGTGATTCATCCGTGAAGAGCACACTTCTCCAGCGTGCCAGTGGCCACCGAAGGTGAGCATTTGCCCACTGAAGTCGGTTACGACGCCGAACTGCAGTCAGGGTCAAGACCCTGGTGAGGATGACGAGCACGCAGATGAGCTTCCCTGAGACGGTTATCTTGGTAAAGGAGAAATGCTCACTAACAGGGATGTAAACAAACCTGTGCACAACATTTTAGATAAAATAAGCTTTTTGTGCGTTATGAAATATTTATGGGATCTTTTATTCCAGCTCATAAAACATGGGACCAACACTTTACATGTTGCGTTGATATTTTTGTTCAGTATAGTCAGTACAAATACAAAATCATGACTCAAAAGAAAGCAGAAAGCACTTCACTCACGCTTAGCAACGATTTTGTTGAAAATATTCCTGAGCTCAACTGCTGAAATCTCCATATCCTATTAACAAATCAAATAGAGAGAAATGTATTTAAACTATGAAAGGTACATTCGCCCAGTCAATAACATCATTAAATATTATAGATATTTTTGGCAGTGACATATTATATATTTTACATATAAAAATTGTATAGTATGATAGTAATAGCTTGCCAAAGTTAAAGAGCAGATTGTATAGATCTCTATAAACAGATTGTATAGATCTCTATGGACAGATTGTATAGATCTCTATGGACAGATTGTATAGATCTCTATGGACAGATTGTATAGATCTCTATGGACAGACTGTATAGATCTCTATGGACAGATTGTATAGATCTCTATGGACAGACTGTATAGATCTCTTTGGACAGATTGTATAGATGTCTATGGACAGATTGTATAGATCTCTATAAACAGATTGTATAGATCTCTATGGACAGACTGTATAGATCTCTATGGACAGATTGTATAGATCTCTATGGACAGATTGTATAGATCTCTATGGACAGACTGTATAGATCTCTATGGACAGATTGTATAGATCTCTATGGACAGATTGTATAGATCTCTATGGACAGATTGTATAGATCTCTATGGACAGATTGTATAGATCTCTATGGACAGATTGTATAGATCTCTATGGACAGATTGTATAGATCTCTATGGACAGATTGTATAGATCTCTATGGACTGATTGTATAGATCTATATGGACTGATTGGATAGATCTCTATGGACGGATTGTATAGATCTCTATGGACAGATTGTATAGATCTCTATGGACTGATTGTATAGATCTCTAATGTCTTATTCTCCAGTAAGGGTAATGGTTGGTAATAATACTTACATCTCCAGCTAGCTTAGTGAACAGGCCCCTGAAGCCAGCATCAACCTCCTCCTCAGATACCATCTCCTAGAGAGAAACCACCATGATAAGTCACATGGGATATCCGATCACATGGCATATGAGCGCCGCCATCGTAGTGTAGCAGTAGCAGTCGCAGTAGCGGATTAGGCGTAGATTCGCGTCGCGTCGCGTAGCGTCCGCGTCGGTAGCGTCGCGTTGCGTCGGTCGTGTCGTGTCGTGTCGCGTCGCGTCCGTCGCGTCGCTATCGTGTCGTGTGTGTACACGTCGCGTCTGTCTCGTCTGTCGGCGTCTGTGTCGAGCGTCTCGTCGTACGCGTCGCCCGTCGCTCGCGTCGTGTCGCTCTTGTGCGTCCGTCGCGTCGTGTCGCGTCGCGTCGTGTCGCTCCGTTCGTGTCGACGTCGCGTCGGTCGTGTGCGTCCGTCGTGTCCGCGTCCGCGCTCGCGTCGCGTCGTGTCGCGTCGCGTCGTGTCTCGTCCGCGTCGTGTCGCGTCGCGTACGTCGTGTTCTCGTCGCGTCGCGTCGCGTCGCGCCCGTCGGTCTCGTCTCGTCTGTCGCGTCGTGTCCCGTCGCGTCGCTCCGCGTCTGGTCCGTCGCGCCGGTCGCGTCGTGTCTCGTCTCGTCTCCCTCGCGTCCCCGTCGCGTCGTCTCTCGCTCGTCGCGTCGCGTCGGTCGCGTCCGTCTGTTTTCGTCGCGTCGCGTCGCGTTCTCTCCTCGTCCGTCGCGTCCCCGTCGTGTCTCGTCGCGCCTGTCGCGTCTTGGGCGCGTCGCGTCGCGTCGCGCGCGTCCGTCGCGTCGCGTCTCGTCCCCGTCGTGTCGCGTCGTTCCGTCGCGTCCGTCGCGTCGGTGCGTCTGTCGCGCCCTGTCAGCGTGTTCTCTCGTCGGGTGGTCGCTTTGCTCCCTCGGTCTCGTTCGGTCGCGTAGCGTCCTGTCTGTGCGCGGTCGGTCTTTTGGGAGGTCGCGTCGGTGTTGTCGTGTGGTGGTCCGTCGCGTCCGGGGCCCTCCGTCGCGTCTGGTGCGTCGTCGGTCGCGTGCGTCGCGTCGTGTCGCGTCGCGTCCGTCTGTCGCGTCCGTCGCGTCGCGTGTGTCCGTCGTGTCGCGTCGTGTCGCGTCGTGTCCGCGTCCGTCGCGTCGCGTGTCGCGTCGCGTCGCGTCCCGCTCGTGTCGCGTCGCGTCGTCGCTCGTGTCGCGTCGCGTCGCGTCTGTTTCGCGCGCGTCGCGTCTCGCGTCGCGTCGCGTCGCGTGTCTCGTCGCGCGTGTCGCGTCGCGTCGCGTCCGTCGTGTCGCGTCCGCGTCGCGTCCCTCGCGTCGCGTCGTGTTTCTCCGCCGTCGCGTCGTGTCGTCGCGTCGCGTCGCGTCGGCCGTCCGTGGTTTCGTCGGTCGCGTCGCGTCCGTCCCTGTCGCGTCGCGTTGCGTCGCGTCGCGTCCGTCGCGTCCCCGTCGTGTCTCGTCGCGTTTGCGTCGCGTCGTGTCGCGTCCGTCGCGTCGGTCCGTCCGTCGTGTCCCCGTCGCGTCGTGTTTCTCCGTCGCGTCGCGTCGCGTCGCGTCGTGTCGCGTCGCGTCCCCGTCCGTCGCTCCGTCGCGTCGTCTGTCGCGTCGCGTCGTGTGCGTCTGTCCTCGCCGTCGCGTCGCGTCCGTCGTGTCGCGTCCGTCGCGTCGCGTTCGCGTCGCGTCGTGTCGTCGCGTCGCGTCGCGTCGTGTCTCTCGCGTCGCGTCGCGGGGTTTCGTCCGTCGCGTCTCGTCCGTCGCGTCGCTCGCTCTCGTCGTGTTCCCTCTGTCGCGTCGCGTCCGGCGCTCGCGTCTTCGCTCTGTCCGTCGCGTCGTCGCTTTGCGTCTCGTCGTTCCGTCTGTTCGTCCGTCGCGTCGCGTCGCGTCGCGTCGCGTCGCGTCGTGTCTCGTCGCGTCGTGCGCTCGCGTCGTGTCGCGTCGCTCCGTGCGTCGCGTCGCGTCGCGTCGTGTCGCGTCGCGTCGCGGCCGTCGCCGTCGTGTCTGTCCTTCCGTCCGTCGCGTCGCGTCGTTTGCGTCGCGTCGCGTCTGTTTCGTCGCGTCCGTCGTGTCCGTCGCGTCTGTCCGTCGCGTCGCGTCGTGTCCGTCCGCGTCGCGTCGCGTCGCGTCGTGTGCGTCTCGTCCCCCGTCTGTCGCGTCGCGTGCGTCTTTTCGTCCCCTCGTGTCGCGTCGCGTCGCGTCTGTTTTGTCCCCGCGCGTCGGTCGCGTCGCGTCGCGGGCGCGTTTGTGTTTCGTCGCGTCGCGTCCGTCGTGTCCGTCCCCCGCCCTCGCGTCTCGCGTCGCGTCTCGTCGCGTCGCGTCGTGTCCGTCGCGTCGCGTCTGTTTTCGTCGTCGCGTCGTGTCGCGTCGCGTCGTGTCCCCGTCGCGTCGGTTTTCCCTCGCGTCCTCGTTTTCGTCGCGTCGCTCGCGTCGCTCGCGTCGTGTCGCGTCCGTCGTGTCTCGTCGCGTCGCGTCCCCGTCGCGTCTCGTCGTGTCGCGTCGCGTCGCGTGCGTCGCGTCGTGTCTCGTCGCGTCGTTCCCCGTCGCGTCTGTCGGTTCCGTCGCGTCGTGTCCTTTGCGTCGCGTCTGTCCGTCTCGCGTCCGTCGCGTCGCGTTGTCGTCCGTCGCGTCCCTGTTCTCGTCGCGTCGCGTCCCCGTCGTGTCTTCTCGCGTCCGTCCGTCGTGTCGCGTCGTCGTGTTTCGCGTCTCGCCGCGCGCTGTCGCGGCGTCGTGTCCGCGTCGCGTCGCGTCGTGTTTCGTCCGTCGCGTCGCGTCGCGTCGCGTCGCTCTCGTCTGTCGCTCGCGTCGCGTCGCGTCGCGTCTCGTCTCGTCTGTCGCTCGCTCGCGTCGTGTTTTCGTCGCGTCCGTCGCGTCGTGTCCGTCGCGTCGTGTCGCTTTGCGTCGCGTCGTGTTTTGTCCGTCGCGTCGCGTCGTGTCGCTCGCGTGTGTCCGTCCGTCGCGTCTGTTTCGTCCGCGTCGCGTCGCGTCCCTCGCGTCGCTCGCTGTCGCGTCGCGTCGTGTCGCGTCGCGTCGCGTCCGTCCGTCGCTCGCGTCGCGTCTGTCGCGTCCGTCCTCCCTCGTGTCTCGTCCGTCGCTCGCGTCGCGCCGCGTCGCGTCCGTCGCGTCGTGTTTCGTCGCGTCGCCGTCGTGTCTCGGGCGCGTCGCGCGCGTCGCGTCGCGTCGCGTCGCGTCGCGTCCGCGTGTCGCTCCGTCTGTCGTGTCGTTCGTGTCTCGTCGCGTCGCGTCGTGTCTGTCGCGTCGCGTCGCGTCTGCGGTCGCGCCGCGTCCCTGTCGCGTCTCCGCGTCTGTCGCTCGTGTCGCGTCGTGTCGCTCCGCGTCGTGTCGCGTCGCGTCGCGTCGCGTCGCGTCCGTGTTCCGTCCCCGTCGGTCGCGTGGTCTCGTCGCGTTGTCGGTCGCGTCTGTCGTGTCGCGTCGTGTCGCGTCGCGTCGCGTCGTGTCTCGTCCGTCGCGTCGCTCCGTCGCGTCTCGTCGCGTCGCGTCGCGTCGGGCTCGTCGCGTCGCGTCGCGTCGTGTCGCGTCCGTCGTCTGTTTTCGTCGCGTCCGCGTCGCTGGGCGCGTCCGTCGTCGCGTCCGTCTGGTTTCTCGCGTCCTCGCGTCGCGTCCCTCTCGTCGTGTCCGTCGCGTCGCGTCCGTCGCGTCCGTCGCGTCGCGTCTCGTCGCGTCGCGTCCGTCGCGTCGTGTCCGTCTCGTCGCGTCGCGTCGCGTCCCCGTCGCTCCGTCCGTCCCGTCGCGTCTTGTCGCGTCGCGTCCGTCCGTCGTGTTTCGTCGCGTCGCGTCGCGTCGTGTCCGTCGCGTCGTGTCGCGTCGCGTCGCGTCGTGTTTCGTCCCCGTCGCGTCGCGTCGCGTCGCTCGCGTCGCGTCGTGTCGCGTCGTGTCGCGTCGGTCTCGTCGCGTCGCGTCGCGTCGGTTTGTCGCGTGCGCCGCGTCGCGTCGCGTCTGTCGCGTTCGCGTCGTTGTCGCGTCGGTGCGTCGGTCGCGTCGCGTCGCGTGCGTCGGTCCGTCCTCCGTCGCGTCGCGGGCCGTCGCGTCTGTCGCGTCGTGTTCGTCGGTCGCGTCGTGTCTCGTCGCGTCGCGTCGCGTCGCGTCGTGTCGCGTCGTGTCGCGTCGCGTCCGCGTGTCGCGTCCGTCTCGTCCGTCCGTCCCCCGTCGCGTCGCGTCGCGTCTGTCTCGTCGGGGTCGCGTCTGGTCGTGTGCTCGCTCGCGTCCCGTCGGTCGCGTCGTGTCGCGTCGTGTCGCGTCGCGTCCCTCGTTCCGTCGCTGGTCGCGTCGCGTGCGTCGCGTCGCGTCGTGGTCCCCGTCCGTCGCGTCGTGTCGCGTCGCGTCGCTCGCGTCCGTCGCGTCGCGTCCCGTCGTGTCGCGTCGCGTCTGCGTCGCGTCGCGTCGCGTCGCGTCGCGTCTCGTCGCGTCCGCGCCTCGTGTCGCGTCGCTCGCGTCGTGTTCGTCGCGTCGTGTCGCGTCCGTCGCGTCGCGTCGTGTCGTTTCGTCCGTCGCGTCCGCGTCGCGTCGTGTCGCGTCGCGTCCGTCGCTCCGCGTCGTGTGTGTTTCCCCTCGCGTCGCCCTCCGTCGCGTCGCGTCGCCGTGCGTCGTGCGCGTCGCGTCGTGTTTCAGTCCGCGTCGCGTCCCCGTCGCGTCGTGTCCCCGTCCCCGTCGCGTCGCGTCGCGTCGCGTCCGTCCGCGTCCGTCGCGTCGCGTCGCGTCGCGTCGTGTCGCGTCGCGTCGCGTCGCGTCGCGTCGCGTCGGCCCCGCGCGTCGTTCGTTCGCGTTTCCCTTCCGCTCGTTCTGCCTTCCCCCGGTCGTCCCGGGCCCGCGGCGTGTTCCTTTTTCTTTGCCTACCCCCGCTTTTCCCCCTGAGTTCTGTGCGTGTTTGTTTGAGGGTCCTCCCCCCCCACCACCCCCCCCCCCCCACCCCCCCCCCCACCAGGCTTAGTGTCTCGGCCTGTTTCTCGGGGAACCCCTAAGGGAAGTCCAGCGTTCAGGTTGGCTTCGAGGGGGAGGGTACGATGAGGTATTCTCCAGGGGGCAGTTTGAAGCGGGTGCTG